TAAATCAATTGACTGTAAGAAATTATATTAATAATATTGCTTGTTATTAAATTGTTATCCCAACAGCATGAAGCAGATAATCGACAGGTATGTCAAGTCGAAGGGCATTCCTATCCCGGACCACAACAATCGAGCCGGAGCAATCGCATACAATGTACATAAATAAAAACGACCTTAATAATTAATTGCTCTATTTTTTCTCTAACACATATATATACATAGTACTAATTTATTATGTTTTATTACACTACTCTAAATAATTAAACAATTACAGGACCAAATGTACAAAGAGTTGGCGCGAATGAAAAACGAAACCCTGAATCTGCAATTGAGCCTGCAGAGGTACAAGGGAGATGACCTCAGCACCGTACATTTTGATGAGCTAAGAGAACTCGAACACCAGCTCGAACAATCCGTCAACAAAGTTCGTGCTCGTAAGGTATATAAAACATTTCTTTAATAATTTCACTTTTATCTAGAATTATCATTAATTTTGTTATATAATTAATATATATACATCAAAAAAATAAAATCAAATAATTTGGTTAATTACCAATTTTCTTGATCACATTTGTGCAATTGCAGTTCCAGCTTCTTCACGAGCAACTCGAAAATCTCAAGAGGACGGTACAAATTATATAATATTTCATGCCACTTTTCTTTTTTTTTAAATAATTAAATTAATTTAATTAATCCGATATCGATCAATTAAATTGTTCTAGGAAGTACTGCTGGAGAAGGAAAACCAAGAAATGTACCAATGGGTAATTATTAATAAATAAACTTCATTTTATCTCCTCTAAATTTTGAGGGAAAAAATATATACATTGCATACATACTTATATATATATATATATATATATATATATATATATATATATATATATATATATATATATATATATATATATATTTAATGATGCATGAAAAAAATGAGCAGCTAATGAGTAACCAGATAGAGAAGCAAGCAGAAATGGAGGCACAACAGCAACAAATAGCAATGACAGAACTGAAGCTGGTCGAACAACAGCCGTTGATGAACCAGTTCCCGTTTTTCGGAGAAGATCTTCACCTCGGAAATTTACCCGATCAACAACTTCACACACACACGTACCGCCTTCAACCTACTCACCCGAATCTCCAAGATTCCACCCAAATCGGTATATATATACATATACAATATCTTTATATGTTAACATAGATAACTTATAATTTATGGTTTTTTTTTTTTTTTTGTGGGGTTTTGCAGAGTGATTATGTTGCATGCATGCAAGGGATTGAGTTTAATGAAGAAGCTAGTGTAATTTGTTTTGTGTGTTTGTTAGTTATAAATATTTATGACAGACCAAGATATATATATTTATATACTAGTAAATATATTTAGTATATATATATATATGTAATTATGGTTTAAATACTGTTCAATGTTCATTGTTCATTGTTCTATGTTATAAGTATTGATTTAGTAGTGTGTTTTAAAAAAACAATTTGTAGTTCAAAAACTTAATTTCCTCATAAAAATGGAGTCGATGCTGCATTGATTACATATTTCTCGATTATTCCCTTATTAACTCTATAATACTCTTCATGCATTAGTTAATAGAAAAAGGGTAGTTTTGTCTAACAATATCTATTTTCCTAAATCCCGTACATATTTATCGAGTTTTTCAAGACTTGTGTGAGGGTGAAAAACGACACATATTTAGGAACGAGGAGAGTATTATTAGGTTGTACCGTTGACAATCAGTAAATTATTACAAGGGTGATGATTACAAGACTTTTTCAATATTTACAGGTCACAATTTTCGCGGGAAAATAAATATATTTAAGTTAGTTTTAATTTTTTATTAACTACATATCAAGGAGTTGGCAAAAATTGTTGTTGGTTAAAAACTTAAATTAATATTTGACCTTAGCTTTGTTTATAATTCAGTCTCCTTTCTTAGCCCTTAAACTATGCCTACAGATCGGTGTGTTAATTCTTTTAAGACATTCTCTCTCTCTCTCTCTCTCTCTCTCTCTCTCTCTCTCTCTCTCTCTCTCTCTCTCTCTCTCTCATTATTCAAAAGTAAAGAATGTAAAATAATTTATTGTAAGAAGTCAAAGGTTTAATTTAATGATTTTAAAATGGATAAAATTTAATATTAGACGCAATGAATGATGTTAGAGTCGGCAGATATTTGAAGATCCTAACTTAATATTTTATCACCCCGGCCTTGAAAATTCTATTAGTTTAGTGAGATATTAAATTATCGAATTAATAATTTAACTAGTTTTCGGAATCGATAAAAAATATTATTTCAGAGATTAATTTATCGAGGTTCTACTGTAATTTGGATCTAACCTAAGAGGAGGCCGATAGTACAGTTTAGTGTTGAACGAAATCAACATCAAAGAATTTTTTTATGATTTTTAAAATTCAAGAAAACCCTAGTTGTGAGTAAACCTAATCTTGTACAAAGGTAGATTTAGTTTACCCAAAAAAAAAGAGAAAATAATAATAACTAACTTGAATTTTCTATTGACTTAACTTTAATTTACTTGTTAGAGTAATGTCAAAGATATTGGTGAAAATTAGAATAGATTTTCGAATTATGGTGATCCCGATCCAAATATTTTCGAATTTGGTACAATATTTTTCATTCTAAATTCCGAAAGTTCCAATTCCGAATTTTTCGAATTTTTCTGGAACGGAATTGAAATACAAATTAGATTCAAAATACTAATCCGGTTTTGACGTCTGAAAATATTTCCAAAAATTCTATTCTTTTACCCCGAAAGTTACTCTTTAAATTTCAATTTTATAGATGACTAAAACTTTAGAAATTCCGAATTCTGTCGATTTTGATGTGAAAGTTTCAGCTTTTGGAATTAAAAAATTCATTCCAATTTCAAAATTCCGATTTCTATTTTTTTTTTTTTGTAAACTAGAATCACTAACCTTTTTGATTGCTTGAAGATATAAACATGTGTATCGTCACGTCATATGCCGCCATGTGGCGAAATCGGATTAACAAAAACACTAATTACAGATTAAAGAATAATTGTTTTGATTAAGATCAGATGCATCATCTGAGGAAGAATGCTTCTGTTGTAAAATATACAGCAGAAGAAAAAAAAAATAAAAAAAATTGTATGATGAAGAAAACATTGACTTTTTTTAGAGGTTTGACTTTTTGTCACCGGCCATTGCATGACTCGAGCGGCTGCCTTAATCAAATACAATTATTAATAATTAATTAATTATTTAATCCAATTAATTCAAAGCGTTGACATTCCAAAATTGCTGGGAAAAATCATTGCCCCTCTATAAATAGGCCTTTATAACTAACTCCTTGATCACACAAACAACTAATTAAGTCATATATTTTTATTGCAATATATACACTACTACTTCACTACTTATATATATTTATATTTTGGTACTTCGATTTTCTTCGTGTATCAATGGCGATCCCGGTTATCGATTTCTCGAAGATTGAAGGAGACGATAGAGCCAAGACTCTTGCTCAGATTGCTGTTTGCTGTGAAGAATGGGGATTCTTTCAGGTACTTTATTTAGATTTTAATTCCAATTTTTTTTTTTCTAATAGTAAAAAAAATATATAAGTTTTTTTTTTTTTAAATTGAAAAAGTTGATCAACCATGGAATCTCTGAGGAGCTTCTGGAGAGAGTGAAGAAGGTGGCTTCTGAATGCTACAAGCATGAAAGAGAGCCGTCTTTCAAGAACTCGAAACCGGTGAAAATGCTCGACGAAATTTTAGCGACGAAAAGTGACGAAAAAATCGAAAACGTCGACTGGGAGGACGTTTTTCTTCTCTCTGATGAGAATCATGATGAATGGCCATCGAAAACCCCTCTTTTCAAGTAAACAAAAAAAAAAGATTCGATTTTTTTTTAATAATTTTTTTTTAATATAAAAACGACGTTGCGATGATTAAATGTTTATACGAATGTGTTAATAGGGAGACGATGAAGGAATACAGAGACGAACTAAAGAAACTGGCGATCAAAGTAACCGAAGTAATGGACCTAAACTTAGGCCTCCCAAAAGGCTACATCAACAAAGCATTCAACGGTGGCGAATTAGACGACGACAATAATAATAATAAAAATGCCGCCTTTTTTGGCACAAAGGTGAGCCACTATCCACCATGCCCAAGCCCGGAAAAAGTAAACGGGCTTCGGGCCCACACGGATGCAGGCGGAGTGATCTTGCTCTACCAAGACGACGAGGTGAATGGGCTCCAAATCTTGAAAGATGGAGAGTGGATTGACGTGCAGCCACACAAGAATGCCATAGTCATCAACACGGGTGATCAGATTGAGGTCTTGAGCAACGGGAGGTACAAGAGCGTCTGGCATCGCGTTTTGGCTCTGCCAGGTGGCAACCGGAGATCGATTGCTTCGTTCTATAACCCTTCGCTCAATGCCACTATTGAGCCCGCTCGGGAATTGGTCGTTGAGAAAGTGGAAAAAGAGGAGGTGAATTCGGCTAAGTACCCGAAGTTTGTGTTTGGGGATTATATGTCTGTTTATGCTGAGCAGAAGTTTCTTGCTAAAGAGCCAAGGTTCCAGAAAGCTGTCAAAGCAGTGTAATAATGTAGTGTGTGTGTGTGTGTGTGTGTGTTCCAATTTGGTTATGGTGAATAAGGTTTTTATTTTATTTTAATTATTATTAGAGTTGTGTGAAGATGGTAAGAAGGTGTCCCTCAAGCCAAGTGCTTTGTTAGGTGACTGTAATTCTTCTGTATAATAAATGTGTATGGAGGATGAATAAAATAATTTTATTTATATATATATAAAAAAAAAAATTGGCTTTGTAATTTGAGTTTTTACACTCTTTATAATTTAATTTAAATCGGCAATTGATTTATATTATGAAAGTAAAAATGAAATTATCATGAAATCAATCTTTTGATGTAACAGAATTTCAGAAACAGAGCCTTCTTGTTGATACATGACAAATTTCATTTTTATTTAATTTTTTTTCTATAGAAAAAGTGAAAGAGTACAACCATATGAAGCTACAATGTTCAGGATGTACAATCAGATGAATAGACAGCTTATTACAGTGCTATCCCTGGGTATTGTAGAGCAATCTTATAACCCTTTTTAATAGGTATATATATGAACTGTACAGTAATATATACATAGATATAATTGTATGGTTTCTCAAAGGGCTTTTTGGTCTAACCTTTCGTTCCAGTTTAAGCAACGGATCAAGCTTCGAAACCAATCACCTGTTTGGTCGGATTTATTGACAGTTGGGAGTGGATGTTGGCTCATTGATATTCTAACAGAATCTCCTCTCGAGAGCTGCTGCCTTCTCTTCCCATCAAACGAGACCCAACAATTGCTCCGTGCATCTTCCGGAATCTTCCTCAGTCGAACGAAAATTACAAAATAATAAATAAATAAAAACAAAACAGAAGAAAACGATAATTACTGACGATAATGTGAAGTCTGAACAAACTATTCATGCATATGGCAACTTTTTTTGTCGAATAATTTTCAATAGTCCCGTCTCAGAAATACTTTTAGAAGTTTGTTTCGGCAGAAAAGGCTTGATGGGAGAAGGAAAAGAAAAATCTTACTTATTATTTATTATTTTGTTGAAGTGAAGAAATGATACCTTTAATTCGAGCCGAGCAGAATCCGGTAGTATGACTGGTCTGAATGAGAGAGAATGTGGACAAATCGGTGTGAAGAGCATACACGGAACATTTGGATGTACCTGCACAAGAAAAACCCATCGACACCTAAAATTCAGATTATTATTTCTTTATGTAACTCTGCCGTTTCTTTGAGACAGTAATACATTGAGGTGTTTGATACATAAATCGCACAAGAAAAAACTGAAGCTATTTTTCATGTTATGTAATAAGATCAAGTGAAATGGGAGTTTGCCCTGTCTTTTTTCTAACAATCATATAAATTAAACCATTAATTTCAGAGACAACCATTCAACGCAAAATTGTTATGCCCTCGGTCAATCCCATTGGTCCCGTGAATTTTCCGAGAAACCTATGACCTTATCCTCCTTTCTCACGCTAAAATTCCAGCATCACTTATAACATTGAAAGCAGAGTCATTTAATTTTCCATGATACTATCATTTAATTTAATTTAATTATCAAGAAACCAGAATAAAGAATTTCAGTCTTGCCGTTCGTGTAGTAGCAGCTTACCATAGAACCTCCAGCAGCAGTGGAATAAGCTGTACTTCCAGTAGGAGTGGCAACTATAACTCCATCACCTTGCACCTATCAAAAGAAATGATCGATAGTCAAAGACTTAAAAACGAGTACTTCTTACTTTTGCCTGTCGTTTGCATGAATTCACCAACTATACCTTGGTTATGAGGCGGTCATGTTCGTAACATTCGATTTTTGAAAGATACGGATTAGACCCACGATCAACAACAACCTCGTTTAGGACATCAAATACTTTTCCAGGCATAGCTTTCCCATTTCGAAATACTTCACAGCGGAGACGCATTCTTAGTGTAATATAAACTCCATCAGTCGTGTTGTTCCCGTGAATCACTTGTCTTAGATCATTTTTATAATCATCAAACTGTGACAAGAAAAATTTTCGGAGTTAGAAAGAGATGTGTTAAAATAAATTCGAAGTATTGTTATTACAGGTTGAGGACAGAGACGTACAGTATGGGAAGTGAGAAACCCTAGGGATCCAAGATTAAACGAGACGACAGGAGGAACAGCATCTCTGAATAGATTTGATGCGTGAAGTATGACACCGTCTCCTCCCAAGCAGGCTACAAGGTCAACCCTCTCATGAAGGTCACTGCAATAGGGACAGGTCAGCAATTTCTAAATCGAAAAATGAAGCGGTTTCCTAATTACGAAAACAAAATATTTAATGCCCCAGACTTGAGCACCTTGTATCTTGACTATAGAATGTCTGAACAAATCCGAATCCTGGAATCCTAGCAAAGACATCATGAACCTCGGGTTCAACGAGAATATTCATCTTCTCTTGGTAGTACAAGAAAGTGGCAACCTGGGGTAAACATATAACTCATAATAAGATAAGTCACGTTGGTAGTTAGCATATTGTCCAAAGAAACAACTATCAAGCAATAAAATGAGCCCAACTATAATGTAATGGATACATGCGGAAATTTTAAACTGCAAAGTTGACATGAAAAGTTCTGAAAATTTTGAAATAACAGGCTAAAAATATGGAACATGGAAAATAAGATCAACTGAATGACACAATCATATACACGAGATTTTTTTAAGATTAATACAAAAGCTGTAAGAGAAAAACGAGAACTATGTAAGGTGATGCTTTTCGAATAAAGTCCAATTAGTTCATACAAAAACCATACTCCATAGTCATCAAATGGAGGATTATATACATGCATGCAGCTGCTACGATTAATGTCATATCAAGCTCAAGTAAATCGTTTCAGACTGAAAAACTTTCTTGTATACACTAAATTTTTACTTTTATCTACACAACTGAAAAGCAAGCTAAGAAGAAAGTAGTCCATCCAGTGAATCGAAGGCTTAATTCTTAGGTTACGCATCAGTCAAACAGGGCGCTCTAGCTGTTTAGCCTAGCATTCAACAAAACATCCACACAATCTAGGAATAGTACCTAAATGAAGGGTATATACCTGTTTAGCTTCCTCCATGAGTTCTAGACCCAGCTTCTTCAACAACAACACGGTCTTGGGCGTCGATTTCCATAAAAGCATCTGCTGCTGAGTACTGGGATGAGTGAATGCCAATGAAGATTCAGTCACCTTTTCTCTAGTGCACGAGAATCCATCTGTTCTAACTAAGAACATCTCCGCTTTCTTTCTTGACTGCACCCTCACAACACCAGTTGCCGAAGCACACATATTACTTTCGAGCACATCCATGTTTTCATCATCTGACGAGAGGTAGCTTTCAACACCAATTGACGCGGCATTCTTATTTAGGTCATTGCTTGTGTTTATTACGGAACCATTTTCCTCATTATCCGCACCACTATTGGATTTATCTACACGAGTCGTCGTAGGGCTAGCAAGTACAGTTGTATCCGGATATGACCCGTTAGGGATAACCATACTCTGTGGTTCCGATGGTGATCCATTCATAATCTTTTCTTCGTTGAGGCTTAAATTAGAGCCGACGTCTTTCTTCAAGACAGTCCCATTGTTTTTGTACAGTAAAGCAGATATCATATCCAATCTTTTCTTTTCGTAACTAAAGTATGTTCCGGGTGAAACACTTTTACTTCGGAAAAACCTCGACATTTCTTTTCTGGAGAAAACATCAGCAGGAGGTAGTTGAGACTCCATCGGTTTCACATCATCATAGAAGTCAATAACTGATTCCACTCCACCATTAACAGAGGTGCCCTCGGTAGTTGCTATGCTAATTTCGCCTCCTTTAGTGCTAAGGGATTGGTTTTTTATGGCTTGAGGGTCTTGATTACTGAATGACCCGTTTACAGTATCAGACGATTTATCTTTTTCCAAATTCACAGAGAAATCAGAATTTTCAACTTCTCGATTATCTTTAACTCTAAGGTCAGTCGTACTAGCTCGCCTTTTCGCTGATGTGGTTCGATACGTGTATTCCCTCCACCTAGAGATCATAGAAGAAGTCCTTCGTCTTCCCTCCTTACTGTGTACATAAACAGGCTTTTTGCTCGAATCTGACACTAAAGAAGCAAACTGCACAACCTGCTCAACTGAAGGGGCGGTACCAACTTCCACCGGAAGTTTAATCAGTTCAATCTTCCCAGAAGAAATCGACAAATCGAGAACGGATTCGTAAAAGTTGTCCTTCACAGTTTCCGCCCTGAGATCTATAACGGTTCTAAATCCTTTCTCCACGAGCCATTTCAAACTCTCTTCAGTGACTTGGCCGCCCTTCCAAAAAGCAACATCCAAGTTCTCCGATTGTTCTTCCTCTCTTGAGGTGGACAAATAAACAGGAACCCAATTCGCAAACAATGTCTGGCAAGGTTGATCGTCCCTTCGTGGAAATCCAGAATCGTAGCACACATTTTTCAATCTCTGCAGTTTTCGCCACACATTTAAGCTCCGATCATCGCCAGGTGTCAGATAATTCTCTAGGGCAACGTGCAAACTCTCGCAGTAACTTTTCATCTCGGAACGGAAATTCGCAAGTGGAGGGAGAATATCGTCCATTACACTTTTATCTAGGTTTCGGAAAGAATTCATGATGGACGATCTACCCAAAAGGACATCTTCTCTTCCCTTATTTAGGAGACACACCATGCAACCAAGAACAGAAACTATCTTATCCTCTAACAACGGCTTATCCTCCGACGGTACATCGTAAGAAACACTACACTCTCCGGTCAGTGGATTGCACAGAGCATCCATTAAAGCATTGTGAAAGCGCTCCGCTGCCCTAAATATTCTACAGTAAGCCTCGACTTCAGCTATATCTCCGGGCAGCGGTCCAACCCTAGGCAAATGCGACGAATCCTGAGAGTAAATGCTATTCAAATTCAGGCAAACAGAACCCTTAATTTCATTTAAAACGTGCTCGATTCAGCATATTCATAAAACTTCCTCAATCTAAATCAACATGCAAAATACAACGAATCAAAACATAACTACAACAGATTAATTCTTATACAAAATAGAAATTCGTGATACTTTGCAGGTAATAGAGCAGTTGAGATATTCATATCAGGAAATTGGGATCAAAATTGAGCAATTATTCAATATCTCAGCTAAAAGGTTGAAAATAAAACACTAAAAAATGACAATTCCAAAACCCTAGATTAAAAAATAATGAAAAAAAAAAAAACAAACATACCTGAGAATCCAAGCCAATGTTCACCGACAAGGAGCTGGATAGGCGAGCACTGACAAGAAGCCTAAAACGGCGGCGTCCAGCTTCAGAGCATCTCTTCTTCTTCCACTTCGGCAGCTCAAGCCGGAGCCCCGGCCCGGAAATCCTGACGGAGCCGAGCTGATGACAAAATGGCGGCGCTCCGACGGCTCGATTCATGTGGAAGTTGCAGAGGCAATTATGGTAATTGTTAGAAAAATAACAGCTCGATGCCGCCATGCCACCATCAAAATTATAAATTCGATTACCTGCTGCTTTTTTTTTTTTTTTATAATAATTAAAATCGATTGGTTTGATTAGACCAAAAGGATTGATCTTTATTTATTTATTTTTCCAAAAATCTTATTCTATAAATTTCATTTTGTATTTTGTTTGTGCAATTTTATTATTTATTAGCAATAATTTTGGAAATTATTAAAAAAAATTAAATTCTGGATATTGGAAATTATTTGTGGATAGTATCGAAAGGGAGATGGCGTGACAAAAAGACACTGGGACAGCACGAATTTTGGAAATAATAGTAATGAAAATGCTAATATAATTAGTATTATTTTAATATTTAATTTAATTATAATAAAAGTAAATAAAGGAGACAAAATAATGGAAATTATGCATCACGTTATCTTTTTGTTAATATTGTCAAATTGAGGACTTTGTTTTATGATTTTATCATCATCATATGCTGCTGGTCAACTAATTTCGTATAGATATTTTCAATTACTACATAAAAAAAACTATTTAAAAAATCACAATTTTCATATTTGAATTATATAGAACAAATTCATCTTCGTTATACTATATTAATTTTGCACCAATGACTTTGTCCAATTACACTTAAACCTCTATAAATTAATACAGTCGGGACCAGCAAAATTCTATTAATTTAGCAAAAAATTTAATTATCGAACTACTAATTTAATACATTTTCAACGAATCGGGACCGAGAAAAAATATTATTTAAGCGATGTTATTAATTTACTGAGGTTCAACGGTAGTCCAGACTAGTAAGAGTATCAAGCATGAGATCAAACAAAAGCATGTCCTAGCACCTGCTACATTCCATGGTAGACCTGTTTATAAATAGATATAGAAAATTGAGATTTACGAAACAAAGTTCGAATAATGTTTTCCATTCATCGGTGAAAAAATAAATTTGATTGAATCGTACGTACCTTTATAATTCTATCGGCTTGTCCGACAAATATCTTCCCGTTCCAATACGCAAGAGCTGTTATCGTCGAATTACAAGCAATCGACCCAATAGGTGTCGCTTCCATTTCCAACACGTCTTCGGATATTTCCTACAAATCTCAAATTCCAATCGATTCATACGACGATTACATAGAATTAATCAACGGGTTAGTTAAGCGCAATCAATTAATTATCATGATTAGATTACCTGAACACTAATTGTCTTGTCCCAGCCTCCACTAAACAGCCATTTACCCTTCTTGCAGATCGAGAAAACAGCACCTTTATGAGTCTCTATCGACTTCAAAAGCACATCGTTATGCCATATCTGAAGAAAACCAAATCGACGCCCAAAATCGCAAATTAATTTTTTTTTTTCGGGGTTATTAAATGTTCAAACCTTAATTTCTTTGATTAAAATTTTGGGGGCAAAAAAAAAACGGTGCTTAACCTTTATGCTACCATTTTCGTGACCGACGAAAAGCAAATGACGATCAGCACAAAGAGACGAAACAGAGGCTACGTTTCCAAGTATGTCTTGTCCTAATACCGCTACAGGACTATGATCGACGAGAGACCATAATCGAACAGTCCCATCCCAGCTTCCACTAAAAAGAACACTCTCGGAAACTACTAGAGACGAGACTACTGATTTATGACCGCTCATTGAACAGGAAATCGTGTAATCCTGCGCAAATTAGAGTAAGTATTAGACGTTTATTGTTGGGCATTCGGGTCGGGTAGTCGGGTTATTTCGTCTTTTAGAGAGGAGTGTATTTGATCACCTGTAGTGACCATGCTTTTACTAATTTGTCCCCGCCGCCAGTGTAGAGATGTTGTGTTGTTCCGGAAACTGCCATTGCATGGATGCCGCTGTATCTCCAATCCTTGGCCTCGTACAGTTTTTTTAACGGCAATTCGGAAAAGGGAGGATTCGCTTCCCATATGCATATAACGCCTTCGTTATCCCCGCTGATGCACAATTGTTGAGCTCCGTCCACGAAAACGAGAGCCGTGATTCTGTGATCGTGGCCTTTAAACGAGTGTACGTGTGTAAAATCCTGAGATTAATTGGAAAAATAAAATAAGTAAGAAACGGCAAGAAGGGATATCAAATTCATATACAATTTACGCTGGTCACAAACTAATTATAATTGTAAGAAGAGCAAACGGTGTACCTGCAGAGACCATACACGGACTATCTTATCATACGACGAGCTGAACAGGAATCCCCCTAACCAAACGAATAAGTGCATATAATTTAAAAAAAAAATCTCATAATAAGCAAACAAAAGCTCGTCATTCAAACGACGACAAAAATCAGAGGGCAATATTTAGGAATGACAAATCATACCTCCAATAGCCAGCCCTGTGATACAATCAAGATGACCTTTCATCTCCGTACATTTGACTTGACCAATGGACATACTCTCAGCCACATCTCCATCGACACTCGGTTCCACGTCTTCTCCAACTTCCTTATTTATGTCGGTTTTCTCGACTATGTAACATAGCTCTCCTAGTACTACACTCTGGCCCGACTTTTCCTTCTTTACATCCTGCTTTAAAACGAGGCCCGTATCAAACTGTGGTTTAATAATCAACTCTCGCATGCATCTCCATAGCTCGGTTATTACGGGCCGATCTTTAGGGTCAAAACTCAGACATCTGCGTAAAATCTCGTTCAAATAAGCGAATTCCGAACTTAATCTACATTCTAACAATGCTGAAATTTTGTCCATCCAACTCGTGTACAAACCAGAATAATCGCAGCCCGTTTTATCTTTTGTACCGTTAACGACGGAGTTCAAGAAAGGTTCAATCTCTTCTAGAAAGGACTTTCCAACGATACACCGAACTAGTAAACATGCTAACGACCAAACATCCGAAGCAGATCCAACTTCGTATCTTGATTTTCCCAAATCCAAATCAAACCCGTCTTTGACAAGAAAATGTAATAGCATCTCCGGACTAATAAACACATAATCTTCTTGAAATAAATCGACTTCCGAATCTTTGAAACCCCTTCGAACCGCCATATTCAGTCTCGTTCCTGTATTTAGAATCTTACTTAAGTCGATACATACACGGCCAAAATCATCGAAACCGAAACTACTCGCACTCAAGAAACCGATTATCAGCCCCTCCGAGTTCAATCGGCTCAAAATCTCACACGCTTCCAAACCGAGCATCGCCATACCTCTTATTTCGTCGGTGCTCAAATCTCCCTCTTCACTCTCCTTTTGCTTAAGAACACAATTCAAATTAGGTGATTTAAATTTCTCGAAAACGATATAAACGCACTTATCATCCTCGTTGTACCAAAATCCATAAGCCTTCCCCACATTGTTCACTCTAAGAGATGCACATAAGATAACTTCCAATTGAGTTTTATCCTCTTCCTTCATCCGACACAAGACGGCCGCAATTCTCGACTCGTAGCTAGAGTTGAAGTACTTAGAATTCGCTTGATCTTCGACAAAAACCCCGATTACGAAAAGACCCACAGTTTCTCCCTCCTTCAAAACAGAACCGATCACATGATCACTCTCAAAATACTTCAAAACTGTTCCACAAACTCCCCCACCATCACTCTCCGAACCGAATTCGACAATCGAAATACAATCTTCCGGGAGAATCCACTTTTTCCATTTACGGTATACTTCGTACGACCACGAATTTACAGTCGGCGGAAAGTGTTTGGTTCCTGGCGGGTGCGGTGAGGGTGAATTGACTATTTTCTCCTTGGTTCGGTGGCGATTTTGGAGGGCGGAGGAGAAGTGGAGGAGGTCGAGGTTTTTGGGGAGGGAAGAGGGGCAGTTTAGGAATTTCACGAGGAGGGTGCAGACGGTGCAGCGAATGGTGTTGGGGAATGGGTTGGGGAGCTGTTTGAGGCAGGCCTCGCAGGTGGTGTGGCCGCAGGTAAGGACGCGCGGGATGGCCGATACGGCGTCGTACGGCTGCAGACACACCGGGCACTCCGGCGGCTCCGCCTCTTCCATAGCAGCTCCGGCTGTTGAAATTAATCTTTTATTTCTTAATAAAACATTTAATTATTTTATATTTATATTTTGTAGGGTTAATTACAGTTTTCACCCCTATACTATTGTGTCTGTTGCGTTTGCCCCCTTGAACTATGAAATGTGACAAAACAGTCCCTTCCGTTTGGAATCGTTGCTCTGCCGTTAAGATGGAAATCACTCTACTGCGTTGACCAAATATTTTCTTCTTTTATTATTGTTATATTATTTTTACTATTCATGTTTTTATTTACATTTTGTGGGAGAAAAATAAGTCAATATTAATATTAATATCAATGAGTATAATCTATAAACTAATCAATTAACTAATATACTAACAATAAGTGAAATTCAACTTACATTAATATTTACAGTGATTAATGGTACTTAGTAACTGCATTAAAATACTAACGGTGTTAAAAACTTAACCATTGACTGCGGAATCGTGAGGGCTACTTTGTCGTATTTCATAGTTCGAGAGGGTAAATGCGACCTGGAAATAATAATAATATACAATATCTTCGTTTTTCATTAAAATCGATTCTTGATCATATTAGGTACCTGAGATCATGAGACATTACAGTTTAGAATCTAATTTTTTTTTTTACGATTATCGATTCTTGTCTCGTAAACGCGCTATACATAACTTTAAACCGAGAGAAAACAAAACTACAGTCTAAGACTGTTATAAATAACGGATAATTTTCAATCTCGGAAATAACAGTGTTAAGACGTGTTCGACTGTCCACCCTCTTCAAAATCGCCATCCATCTCACAATCACAATGCTCAATGACCTTGCTGCAGATGTCTGAATAGTAAGATGTTACGTAGACGTTTGTGCTTAAACTCTCCAACATAAGAGAAATCTTTTCATCGTTGCGGAATGGGCTAGTGACAATACAAACATCACGCAACAATTTCACGTCATTTGAGGAACTCACGAGCGAGCGCACGAAATAGATGTAGTTCGAAACGAATCTGGGACGCCCCTCAATGAAGTAGTGCTCATACGCGATTAAATTTCTGAAGACTCGCTCCGTAACATCTGCAAATATGACACCTGGCAACTTCAACACCCCATCGATGAACTGTATATTCAATCCACAGTCAGTTTTCTTGATCTTCTCAAACTCGATTCCAAACTCTTTTAATTCGGATACAGATTTTACGGCCTCGACTTCCCCTTTCTTATCGTCCAGCTTCGTCACAGAAGAACACCACAGTCTGTGAAGGAGGCCAAGAAGGTGATCCACATCTTCCATTGCCACATCTTGATCCCAAAAATCAATCGGCCACGGTGAAACACATCCAGCATAAAACCGAATCAAGAAGAGAATAGTGACATCATCGCTTTCATCTATTGTCATAGAGAACAACTTGTCAAGAACGAAAAACGGAACTTGATTCTCGAGTAATATTAAATCAAGTTGCACCTTACCAAGTAACCCTCTATATCGAAAAACGGGGTCATCCTTTTCCCTCAAATTAACCCAAAAAAGCTTCCTAAGAAACTCTATGACGAAGCATCCATCAACAAGCATCATTAGCACAAACTGATCCGACGTAAAATCCCCGAGATCCCCCTCTAGATAACATGCACGCGCTCTTTTTTCCAATGGTCTCATTGCAGCGATATACCTATCGACACTCGACTCCCTCGTTTCTTTCAGTAAATTCTTTAGGTACCTTAATTTGTGAATCTCCATCTTCTGTAGATGGGCCTTACCGTAGTGAAAAGGGCCGATAGATATCAATTTCGGTTCATAATGCTCCGAAGAAGGGGATCGTAAATCATCGTCAACCCTAAAGATGGTGGGTGCAGAAGAGGGCAAGGGGGGCAAGCCGACAAGTATACCGTCCAAGACAACAGCCAGATTATCTCTTTTTCTCGACATTGAACCGCCTACAACAACAATTAAATATCGAAAAAACCAAACGAGAGTCGTAAATCATAATCCAGCACAAAAATTCTAATCTTTCATTTTTGAAATGATGAAAATGAAAAAAAAAAAATTTAAAATTTAAATCAAAATCCAGTTCTTACCCAAAACGACGTAGCATGTATGTACAAACAGAAGTTCAAATAATTCAGAATAACATCAAATACAGAAGGCCATAAATCAAAGTTCAAACACTAATGAAATATCTTTTATTCAAGCAAAGTCCAAAATTAAGTACTACTCTTCAGTCCCAATCCACTAGGGTTTTCCAAAGATTAGATTTTTACTCCCTTTTCATTTTTCTCTCCGCAAATTAGTTTCTTTATATTTTTTTAATTGGTTCAATAATACGACGGAAGAATAAAATGAAGGTGGAATTTTACCTAAGGTTGCAGACTTGCAGTAGATCGAAGAAGACGACGGTCGGGGGTACCAATTTGTAAATTCGCTAGGTTTCAGCTCTAAATTCTAATTATTTTATTTTTTTTATTTATTTCGTCAAAAGAAAAAGAAAGAAACAATAAATTAAAAAAAAACCAAAAAACTAATACATACTTATTGGGCATAGATTTGTAATCAAATCCACAAACCCTAGCCCAAGAAGATTATTATTACATATTAATATTAGGGTAAATTACACCTACATCTATGAGGTACGCTATAATAACTTTAAGGTTTATGTGGGATTGGTAATTACGACCACACTCCTGAAACAATTATTGGAGCAAGATTTCATGCCATGGGAACGGATATGCACTGTTTTTGTTTTCTGTGGGACCGTTAATGCTGCCATATACGAAAACTTATAAATCTTATATAAAATAATAAGAATTTAAAAAATGTTGGGGGAAGCATGGCACTCCCTACCTCTATGTTGTCTCCACCATTTCCTGAAACTAATAGTTCGTTAGAAACCCTAACGGATAACTTATCTAACACATTATTCCGTTAAGACTTATAACAATGCTTCAGGCCGTCATTGTAATTATTGATACCACATGGACCTAAAAGTTATTTTAGCAAACCTCAGAGGTGTAAGTGTAATTTACCCTTAATACTATAAACATATATTCTCAACATATATATTTGATTTTTTTTTTTTAATATATTCTCGTTTTTTATTTTAACTTTTAAAGGGTGTAACGAGCTCAAAACCCTTTTTTCCATTATTGGGCCTGATTATTTACGATTGATGGATTTGAACCGTAGATCTATACATAATTACACACACTCATGTGTATGTGTTGTTAGTGGTTAGTTATTTAATCAAATCTACTGTGAACCAAGTGTATCATCTAACTCTCGTACTTAGGATGAGAAAGAAACAAGCACATTTTTGAATTTTGTAATCCACAAAAAGAAAAAAGTTATCAAATAGGAATATAGGATATTGACATTTGAAACACAAGACTCAGTCAATATATATATCCATGAATTTGAATTTGAATTTGCAAACAAACTTCGAATCTAATTTACAGTTTTCGAATCTATTTTTTTTTTCACGAACTGCCAATGCTCGATTTACCTCCCGATTCTTGGCTCGTAAACGTGCTGTACGTAAAAGAAGTCTCTTGCAAGATCTCGTGGCTGAGAGGCAAAGGCCGATCAGGCAATCTCGGAATATCAACATCACCTTCAAGCATCTTCAACGCATCAGCAACCGTCGGCCGAAGGCCCACCATAACGTGCGCGCACAGGATCCCAACTCTCACAAACCTCTCCATCACCGCCTTGGGCCCAACATCCCTTATCGACCCGTGAAAAATCTCCTCGACTCGCCCGGATTTCACGAGCTCCCAAGCCCAATCCGTGATCAAAATTTTCGACGGCTCAGATGAACCGACGAGAACCCTTCTACCACTCATGATCTCGAGTATCACAATTCCGAAGCTGTACACATCGCTCTTCTCTGTCAACTGACCGTAGAGAGCATATTCCGGCGCAAGATAACCGTAAGTTCCGGCGACTCTGGTGGTGAGATGGGATTGCCCCTCTGAGGTCTGTTTGGCTAAGCCGAAATCTGCAACCCTTGCTTTCATTTCCGAGTCCAAGAGAATGTTTGTTGACTTAATATCGCGGTGAAAAATCGAGGGTTTGATTCCGTAATGTAGGTAACCGAGCCCTTTTGCGATATCAAGAATTATGTTCTTGCGTTGAGGCCAAGACAGATGCTCTCTTGCATTGAAGATGTGATCGTCTAAATTACCGTTCGGCATGTAATCGTAAACTAAATATCTCCTTTTACCCTTGAAACTTTCGCTCGTGACGCAGAATCCCCTCAGAGCAAGGAGATTCCTGTGTCGAATCTTGCTTATGATTTCCGCCTCGTTTGTGAATTCGTCGTCGCATTTGGAATCCATGTCAAGAATTTGCTTGACAGCAACTTCGGTTCCGTCGGAGAGTGTGCCTTTGTAGACAACTCCGAATCCGCCTCGTCCGATGATGTTTTTTTCGGAGAATCCATTTGTGGCTTGCTCTAATTCGGATACTTGGAACCATTTCGATCCCGTGTTGGGCAGAACCACCCTCGATTGAACCGAAAGAACGTATTTTTGGTGGAGTAAATCTTGTTTTTTCTTCTTGGTGTACTTCTTGTAGGCAATAAAACAAACACCTGCCGTGCATAAACCTGTGAGACCACCCAATAACCCTACAATCAAATTTCGAGCTCTGTGATTTGGTTTTCTGTCGTCGGTTGAGATAGGCAGCATCGGAATGGCTAATACGCAGGAAGAAATTCTCCGATCTTCCGGCCCGAATTCGTTGGCAATGGCGGCGGCGTAGAACACGGCGAAGAAGAAGCATTTTGTGGAGTTGGGGTGCAACGAAACGAGGTAGGAGTTGATTCGCAAGCCCGCATCCCTACACATACTGCACTGGGTCAACCGGGTGAGATCCCCATTGCAGACGGATTCGAGTTGGATGTACGGATCGACGATTCTGGTCCAATCGTCTACAGTACGGATCCCGGCGCAGCTGGTGAGCGGATTGTTGACGAAGAAGTTTGTGTCGTAGCAGGCGGGGTAAAACGGAACGGAAATCGACATTGACAGAAGCTTCTCATGGAAATCCGACATGCAGGAAGACGAAGTGTTGGAATCGGGGAGGTAGAAGTTGGAGGTTCTGTTGAGGTAGATCGCCAACCCCATGCCGAAGACGCTGCGGAGCGTTTGGCAGCAGCCGGGACGCGGCGGCGCGTGGCATAAGGAAGTGTCCCATGGGAAGGTTGTCACGTAGTCGAAGTTGATCGGGCATGAAGAATTAGCTGCTTCAGCGTTGGTGTGAAAATGTGTGGTGAAGAAGAAGAAGAAGAAGATGAAGGGGGTAAGAAAATGGGAGGTGTTCATCTTCTGTGTAAACTGTGAATTGTGGTTCGAATTAAGACATTCTTTTTTTTTTTAAGGTTGTTGTTTTTGAAGATGAAGAAGTTAATGGGTCAGCATCAACAATGGCGGGTGTGTGTGGGTCAAAATAAAAGCAAGTTGAGATTGTGACTGAAGAGTTTAAAGTTTTAAGTTCAAGTTTTGTCTGCTACTTTCTGGTCAAAATCCGTCGGTAGGGATATATTATTATTATTATTATTTATTTATTTATTATTATTATTTATCAAGACAGTAAATAATTAAGAAAGAATTATTGCTCTTTGATTTAATTTTTGAATTAATTGATTTGTTTTGTTTAATGTTTTTAGTTGTCATATTCGGGACCAAGAGGATAAGGCTAATGAACTGATTGGTATAGCTGGCTTCCATGTTCATATATTTTTCCTATATTTAGTCACCTTTCTAGCTAACCCCAATAATTTATTTATAATAGAAAAATATATATTGATAATTTGGGTCTGAGATATGCATTAATCACCATTAATTTTCTAAGATTAAATCTGGACCCTAGGAAAATAACATGGCTTATGTTCTAAAAAATGAAGTACTTTACCAAATTATCCTTCGATTATTTTTTTTATTAAATTAATATAAAATTGATTAACATTGAATTGTCTAATCTACCCCCTACTATATTTTAATTAAATAATTAATTTAAATTCATTGTGACCGAGATTTATTTGATAAATAATCGAAAAAAATGCATTCATTAAGAATAGAACTTGTGACCTCTTAATACATTTATCACTCCTAACCATCCAAGGACATTAACTTATTATAATATATTTAACCATAATTGTATAAATACTGTTAATTCAAATATTAATTACAACATTCATTATTATTAAATGATATTAAATAAATTATTAACAAATTTAATAAAATAAAGTTTTAAAAATATAAAGAAAAAATTATAACTCATTCCAATTAGTAGTTTTCTTACTTTAAAATAAAATTATATACTACAAATACTATATTGTGAATTTTCTTTTAATATTTAATTTAATCAACTAGTAAGATTTGAATCGATGAAGTACAAATCCTTTCAATTAGTAAACATTATTCAAATATTTTAATCGGTTGCTTAACTATTGACATAACATGTTACATAATTAATTTAACTATTTATAAGTAATGTCTAATATCTTTTTAATTCAATTTTGTCATAAAAATAGTAAATTTAATTCCTAACACATGTAAGAACCTAATCGTAAATCATAATATTTTATCAAAGCGTAATATTTGAACCAATTAAGCTCAAGTCCTTTCAATTCGTAAAAATTATTCAAATATTTGAATCGATTCATTAGCGCGCTCAACTATTGACAAGAACGTCTTAATCAAATTAACTATTATTAATTAAAGTGTAATACATTTTTAATTCAATTTTATCATAAAAAAATAATTCCTAAATTACGCAAGAATCAAATCATAAGATTAATTAAAGCGTATGATTTGAATCAATTAAGCGCAAATCCTTTTAATTTGTAAATATTATTCAGAAATTTGAATCGATTAAGTTCAACCACTGACAAGAACGTATTAATCGAGTTAACTATTTATAATTAAAGTCTACTATCCTTTTAATTCAATTTTAACAACAAAATAATAATTTAATTCGTAAAATCGTAAAAATCATATCGTAAATCGTAAGATTTAATCTAACCATGAACCGATTAAATCTTACGATTTTTACGAATTAAATTTTATTATTTTTTATGATAAAATTCAATAAAAAAAATGTTACTAAACTTTAACTATACACAAATTGATTAATACGCTATTGTAAATTATTGAGTTTAACCGATTCAAATATTTGAATATTGTATACGAATTGAAATGAGTTGAGCTTAATCGATCAAATCTTTGAATATTGTTTTTGAATTGAAAACACACGAGTTTAATTGATTCAAATATTACGATTTAATTAAATCTTCCAATTTACGATTCAATTCAAACTTCAAATTCTTTCGAAACTCATTTTTAAATTACACGAGTTGAACAACATTTCCTTAGATTTTTAAATTATATTATATAAAGATTTGTTAGTATGGGATTTTTTAATATATAATTATAATAATTATATGAGAATTAATAATTTATTTAACATTATTTATATAAGTTTTATAACCATTATAAATTGTAGCTTTGTGATATATATCCGTATTGTTAGTTTATTGTTGATTATGTGTTGTGTCTTAATGGTAAGTATTCTTGTGTGTTTTTAGATGGTCACGAGTTCGAATTCAGGTTGACGCAATTTTGGATGGGTGGTTTAATGATTTTTACGAATAATGATATAATTGACATTATAAATTTTAATTCAACAATAAATATATATTTAAAATTGCATTAAAAATATAGAGGGTAAAATTGACATTACATTAATAATATATAATGGCCGATTTTTTGAAAATATTAATTATACGAAGGGTATTTACGACAATACATAAATGAGGAAAAATTGGATTTTTTGGCAGGGACACGTGGCGCAATATAAATGGGGTATCTCATAAAAGTTTAGAACATGGGATCTCACCCTAGAAAGACCCTGATAATTTAATATATTACATCATAATTTGTTTGTACGTAAATTCCACTTTACTACTCATTTTACCCTCTTCTACTCTCAATTATATCGATTTGCCCTTCTATACTTGAAAAATTATTTCAATGTAGCCCTAACTGCTAGTTGTCAGACATTTAGCTTTAACACCATTCGATATAAGCTCTTAAATTACGAAAACATCACCTCTTCATGTCTAAATAATTATTAAAGAAACAATTAAAAAAAATAAAAACATCAAGACAATAATAAAACAGTACACGACGTCAACCACAATTTATTTTTTATATTTTTAATAATTATTTAAACTGGGCGGGGTGGTTTTTTTAATTTTCAGACTTATATCAAACGATGTTAATGTCAAAGGTCTGAAAACTAACGAAGATGCACACATTGAGACAATATTTCAAGTATAGGGGGCAAATCGATACAATCGAGAGTAGGAGGCGGTAAAGTGATATCGAGCCTAATTACAAGGGGAAAGTGAAATTTACCCTTGTTTTTGTATATACTAATAAAATATCAAATAATAATATTTAAAGTATTGGTGGGCGGGTGGGCCCCCACCCGTTAGCCGGTAGACGGGCCTACGGGATACAATTAGGCCCAAATAATACCTGGGCCTGATCTGTTTAGCAAATTATTCTTTTCTTCGTCAATTAATTTTATATATATTATTTTATTTTTTTTCTTTCTGTTTTCTTTTTCTTCACCGCAAACTTTTGCCGCTCATTTCTCTTCATCGCCACCGTGAAACGCACGCACCAACGTGATAACTGATACCCTTCGTTAGGTATAATATTTCCTGTAGCTGAATTTCGACGTACGTTTGAAGGAAATGGATGAATTTGGAGTTTTAGTGGAGAGTATGGGATTCAAAGCCCTAGCGAAATCTGTTCCCATGGTGGAATTAAAAGCTAAACCGAAATCCAATTCCTCCGCCGATAGGCCGATCCACGCGCCGCCGCCGCCGCCGCCGTTGAATTATCCCTCTCTCTTACCCGTCGACGAGCTGGATGTAATTTTCAGGCCTAATTGTAAGATCAATGGAAAAACAGAGCAATCCCTAAATTTATTGGGCGAAGATGATGTTTTTTGTGGGCCCGTTCCGGCTTCAAATCAATATAGGGAAATCGATTTGGAAACCGTTTTTAATAACTCGGTTCATAGGAAGAATGATGATTTGTTTGGGCCACAGTTGAAGCAGACTGATTCTGGTGATGATAAGAGGCCTGTTTTCGAGGATCTAATACCGGGGTTCGAAGTCTTCGAAGTCGATACCCCTTCGAATGTAGGGTATGTGTCGTAAATACTTGGATTTTTATTTTATTTTTTATGAACGTATATCTGATTTTCTGTTGGTTGATTTGTTTATTTGTGTATATGGTGTGTGGATTATCATTCATTCTTGTTAGTACTAGGTGAATATTCAAGTGTCATGAAATTATCAAGGCGTTTAATGCATGTTTACGGTTTGTTTAATTGATGCTACCTAAATACTATGATGTTGCTCTGTTTCATGTCGGTGTTCGTTATTGGTGTGTGGTAGAGAATTGAGTTATTATGCACCTAATCAGCTAAAAAAATGATGAAATTAGAAAGGAGAATTGAGTTATTATACACATGTTATTTTGCATGATGCGTACGAGGGGCTATATTCTTCACTTACGTGTAGTGTTTCTTTTCCCGTTATTTATCTCTCTCTGTTTAAACACGGTCTTCCTTTTATATTATTTTTAGCAGAGTAGAATCAAAGGTTGACCTCTCGCCAGAGTCAAACGGCCCTTCAGTTAAGCCAAGGTCGACCTTGGAAGATGATCCTTTTTTCGTTTTTGAACCATCTATATTTCCTCGTCCCTCAGAACAAGTAGCGGAAAAAGACTCGATTCAATCTTCGTTTGAGGAACTTGATGATTTCATCATGGGTAGGGATTCAAGAACTGATGGAAAAAAGACCGTAACTAACAAGCCAAGTGCAGGTTTAGATTCAAACGGATTTCAGAATGTTGATGATCTGGACAAACTTTTTGATGTTAGCACGAGACCAACTTATACAAAGCAGGTCGATAAATAAATCTGAGAAATGACTTTTATATATACTGATGTTTATTCGCTAGTTAGATTGATTTTTGTTATTATTCGGTGTCCAGGATTCGCAATTTGATGAAGAAAAGAAGACTTCTCCTGCAACAAATATTGGTGAGGACTACAGTGCACTCTTTCGGGGTACTGATACTATCTCGTAATTAAACAATCTTTACCAGAGTATTACGTATGATTGGCACTCAGTTTATTTCAGAAGCTTCTCATAAATCACTGTTGATTGGTTTATGTATTACATATTAATACTTTATCGTAATAAATTCCATGGGATCTGTAGGGATGCCCTCAGATCCAATATCGATGTAATTTACACTATGCATAAGTTTCTTAACAATTCCATGCTTGCAGATGTTACTACTTTGTCTGAAGAATTTCGTGAAATTAAGGGGGAATCTGAAGAAAGACGAAGAGCTAGGCTAAATCGTCATATTAGAACAAATGCTCGTGTGGTATGTTTATTTAGCACTGAGTTTCATTTGGCAATGCATCTTTTTTTAGCAATCTTACAGAAAATACCGACGGTTAAACAATTAGTCCTCTGTATCTTTTGTGATTGCACGGAACTCAATAATTATATTCTATGTGATCGATTTAATATTTATATTCACCTGTTTCCAGGCCGAAGCACTTGCTGAAAAGAATCAACGTGATCTTCAGAGCCAGCAAGAGCAGGAAGAGAAACACGTAAGACTCCGAAAAATCTTAAGAAATTGCACTGAGACGCTTTTATATAAATTTTCTAGAATTTTATTTTATTTAAAATATTTTTTCTTATTTGCGTGATCTAAACCATTTCAGAGGCTTGCGGAAACTCTGGACAGAGACATAAAGAGTTGGGCTGCCGGAAAAGAAGGCAACCTACGTGCCTTACTATCCTCGTTACAACAGGTGTGTTTCTGCAGGGTCTAATTTTCCTGTTCCGTAATTGGCGGACATTCGATATGTACTATGTTATGTCTGAACTTATCAATAATCGGGAATGATGTTGCAGGTGTTGTGGCCTGAATGCAATTGGCGCCCGGTTTCACCGACAGATTTGATCACTTCCGATTCGGTGAAGAAGGTTTATAAGAAGGCCACGTTATACGTCCATCCAGACAAAGTTCAACAAAAAGGAGCTAATCTGCAGCAGAAATACATTGCGGAAAAGGTTTTTGATCTTCTCAAGGTACACTTTTGTCTTCAGTTCTTATCTGTAATCTTTTCGAACTTAACATTACAAAATGACGACTCTACCCCTAATGTTACTAATGAAATTATTAACTTCGACCCTTTGAAATTGTTTTGATGCTAACTTCAAATTTTCACATGGAATAACTTGTTTCACTAATAGGAAGCCTGGAACAAATTCAGCAGAGAGGAACTCAGATGAATTCTTTGTACATAAGAAAACCGATTGCCGAAGCGTTGGCCAAGAAGACGAGAAAGTTGTTTTTAGTGTGCGGTGTAATATAATTAATTTGCTATCTACAAATAAGTGATTACACCCTCCCTTCTAACTAACTTGTTTCTTTGGAGTTCAATTTTTTTTTTATCTTCGTATTTTCTGTAACTTTAGAGTTCCAATGATGCATTTATTATTTTTTTTCTCAATTTTACCCTCTCCTCCTATTTAATGGAGTGAGAGAATTGTTAGAGATAAATGATAAGAAACGGGAGTTTAGTTCATTATGTGCATTTTGACATTTTCTTTGAAATGCGTGCATACTTATTAGTTTGTCAATATTTGTACTTGTGTAGAAACCTTAAACGACATACAATCGACATATTTTCGTGTAATTCTAGGGATGACAACGGGTCGGTTCTGGGCCGGGTTTGTCTAAACCCAAGACCCGACACACGAAAAATATATAAACCCAAGACCCGCTCCAATCTGCTTTAGTTTAGACCCAGACCCGCCCCAACCCAGACCCTAACTAAATGGTTCTGACCCGCTAGACCCTTTAACATACAAAAAAATTAATATTTTTTAACTTTCATAACATTTTGCTTGTATATTTTTACGAAATAATTTCAATACTAAAATATAATATTTTAAAAAATCTCTACAAGTGACATAACATGAACAATAAAATTACGATTAATTATATTTAACTTCGATAATAAGTAAAATTCAAAATGCAAGATAATTAGCGGTGGCCAACAAGTGATATATATTACTCACGAGAAATGAGATTCAAAAAATAAAACAGTGAAAATAGGTAAATGAGAATAGACAAGATGGAAATTGATAGTTTGATAAATGAAACCCGAACTTATATTTTATATATATATATATATATACGGGTTAGTTCTGGGTCGGTTCCAATAAGACCCGTAACCCGACCCAGAACCATCCAGTTCTAGAAACTTAAACCCATTACCCGACCCAAACCATTTAGCTGACCCAAACTCGCCCCATACGGGTTGATTCCGGGTCCAAGACCCGCCAAACCCGTACCCATTGTCATCCCTATGTAATTCATTAAATAGACATATCTTAATTTCATATTGTTGATATATTGTGTGGAAATAACTAATAAGTGATTATTTTTGTCCCTAATTGTAATTGGATTTAATAAAGTTTGTACTATAGTCAAATGAAAGTTCTTAATTATACTTCAAAAAGAAAAAAAAAAAGAAAAGAAAAAAGAAAAATGCAAGTTCTTGATATATGTTGTAATGGGCCTGGTCTATGAAAACCCGAAATATTCTGGCTCGCTAGGCCTTATTGTAAATTATTAAAAAGTTGACCCAAGTCAACTTATAATCATTGAATTAATAAGAAACGTTTTCACTTTTCACATAATTGTGCAATCGTAAATTACACATTAAGTTAACTATGTATGATAAGTTCGATCTATTGAAGGTTGATATGTGAATTCGAACTTTGGTCAACTAACACTAGATCACTTGCTCCAATTGCTAGATCATTATTTGCGGGACTGATTAACATATTCATGACGAGTTATAATTAGTACTCATAATTCCCACAATCTTGGAGGGGTCCCATTATCACATAATTAACTAATCTATCTTGGTAACACAATATCATTATTTTCTAAAATAAAAAGTAAAGAAGAAAACAAATATTTAATTTCCATTTATATCATTAGTAGGACACCAAAACCACTCACCCATTATGTATCCAATTAACAAACTGGGTTCAAATTTATAATTAAAAATTACTTCTTTAACTGCATCAAGTAGTGGAGCCTTGCCTCCGCCGCCTTCCACCGCCGTAGAGACGGCCGCCGCCGCCGCTTTAGATACATGCGCACATGAAAGATGAGTGACTTGCTTTTTTTTTTTTTTTTTGTTATTAATTTTTTGAATTATCATACAAAAAGAAAATCTCAATGACACGTGCGTGTATCATTATATCTAGAGATTAAATTCTGAGCGGATCAGCCGATATTTAATATAAATCGGATTCCACTAATCTTTTGACATGTGGCACTCTTAAGTCATAACTCTTAATAAATCACGCTATCGGATGCCATAGAATGATTGACACGCGGATAGTTTAAATAAAAATATAATTAAGATTCTAATAATTGAAAAAAAAAGAAACAGAAAAAAGAAAAAAGAAAACCCCAGCATAACCCGTAACCCGTCTAACCCTAATTATAATAG